TGAAAAAACTCTTTACAGTACTTTTATTATCTTCAACTGTTCATTTATCATAACTGTAAAGAACCTAATCATCTATGCCAAAATATTTTATCACTAATCAATTAATTTAACGGATATTCTGACCACTTCTTTCCATTTAGTCAAATTCTTGAACTGAAAAAGGTTCTTTAACAGTTTTGTGAACCTTTTTGTACACTGTTTATACATGTTTATCAATTTTAGAAATAGTATTATCTAATTTCCTAATTTTTGTTCTTAAAAAGTGTGATATATCTGTGTGTGAACCGTAAAGCCTTTTTTAAATGTTTACCGGATATAGCGTACAAATGTAACTAATGTATATGTTATATATACTTTTGACAGAGGTATTTCTTTGATGTTTTATTGATGATGCGTTACTTTTTCTGCTCGCGTAAATTTGTAAACTTTCAAAAACTCACTTCTGTGAACAGGAGTTTTTATGATTTATGTCTTTTTATCCTGGTTTAAAAGGAAAACTATATTAGTGCACTTGGAGTTTGTTTATTTTGCCTTTCTTAAAGTTTGTCTCATTGACCTTGTTTCTTGTTTTAATCATCTTACTTTCTCGAGTAAAGAAATTGTTTTGTGTTTTCTTCTATCGAAAAGATCAAAGAGAGATGATGATGGTGATTTCGGTATCGATGACTTAAGTAGGTGATATGAATTTAATAATCATAGTATTGAAGCAGAGATAAGTCTCGTTTACTTTATACAGTATATCGATCTCTGAAAGAGAGAAAAGATGCTAACCTTGTTTATTCAGCTGCAGAAATTTACCGCTCATAACTGATATGCACATTTAGTCTCGCGTAAAATTCCCGTACATCTCATTTGATATAATAAAATATCGGCTTATCAATTAATAAATAACTTTTTCTTCTCACACTGTGTTGTTTTATAAATTAATGGTTTGTAGAATAAGGTAACGATGTGTCTGATATTATTTTATGGTCATTGGTAGGGAATTTGAAAAGAGATTACGGTGTTTAAAATAGTTACTGCCTATAATTGATGTTGTGTACTTGTTTTCACAGTTGGTATTAAGGTGATGTTATACGGAGGATGGTGTGATTTCCTAAAGCACAAACCTTTCACTGTTCAGTTTGTTCTTTACTTGCCTTCAAAAGTGGTACTGCTTGAAAGACGCGTTTTGGAATCTTGATTGGTTTTTCATTACTGATATTGAAAGTGTAAATTATTGCAATTTCAAAACTTATCGATTTCTGTGTTATTCCTTTTATGGAGTAACTATTTTTACTCAATGGATAACGCTCTGCTGTTCACAGCGATCGTACGCGGATTCGAGTATTAGTGGAAACAAATTCACTCCAGTTAATGAGTTCAAAATAGGACAAAACGCGCCTCCTGGATTCCACTGCTCGCCACTATTTATTATTACTAACAATCGATTTCTTCTAAAACCAACTGTCATAGCTTAGGTATATTTTGTTGCTGTCTTGACTACTCAAGATTTGGGGTTTATTTTAGTTGTTTACTAATTAAGTGTTAAATAGTTGCAGACGGTTAACTAGGACGATCAAAATACATCGTTTTTCGTTTCAAGTGATGCGATTCATAGCTGATATATCTGTACATCAACTTTATTCTTGAATGTATATTATCTCCTTATTCATGTCTTTATCATTGTTGATATCACTGTTTTCACTTCGTTCCTATTTTTCTCATTAACTTATCTGTGGTGATTTGAATCGGTGTAAGTCGAATCACTACCCACTCTTACCAAATACCAAATGGTTTCTCTATTTGTCAGTTTACGGGAGTAACCTCATGTTATAAGGTATAGGTGTAAAGAGCTCTCATCTAAAGACCACTTCATACTACTTGATGGGATTCCTGATAAAGAACAGAACTCACTTGATGGCTTATTCTGGTGATTTTTTCTTCACTTTCAGTGTGGTTAATTCACCTTTTGAACTCTTTCATCTTCATTAATTTTAGAATTTTATCTTCTTCCATTCCAACTATATGTGTTGTATGCATAGTAATTAGCTTAAATTACATCATCTAAGTGACTCACTCGTCGTTGAAACATTGATCCAAACATACTACACTTTTAAACGCCTCATGGTTAGTCGAAACTGTGATTACTTACGTTTATTTTATTTTTTATTGAAAATTGTAACGTTAGTAAACTGAATATTCTTTCCTTCTCTCCTTTTGTTTTACTGTTCTAGAAATTAATTGAAAAATGTTATATTGCATTATCTTTCAGTGATGTCTTCACTCATTTACATAAGTACATTATAATTCATTTCATTTTTATGTATTTTTTTCTTGTTGTGTACTAAAAATATTATACGTGTTAGGGGTGTTTGTCAGATTAAGTATCTGGTAAGGGTATTTTCGTCTTTCTCTCTCTCTCTCTCTCTCCCTCTCACTGTACATCGATGGAATGCTAAAATCATTGATTATGAATTATGATACTTATGCAAAGTGATTAATGTAATTCACTTAATGTAAAAATGATTTATGCATTTAGTATGTTATTTTCAGCCTACATTTGTAATCAGTGCTTTCATTATTTTTTCCCCCATTTGATTCACTGAAGGTAGGAGTGATGTAATTTTTCTAAAATTAGATTATTATTTCAGGGGATATACAGTTACGTTACCTATGTGTTACACCCTTGCTCAGCCTTTTCATATACTATAGAGACGTACGTTTTGATAGTGAAAATATAATCGGATAGAATTGATCTTAGACATTTAAGCGAATTATGGTAGGGCCTATTTGCCAAAATAGAGGGCATGAGTATTATGTTAAGAACTATGACCATGGAAACTATTTGAGTTGTAATTTGCGTATACATTCTAGAATTAATTGGTTGGAGTCAGTTGGTATATCTGCAACCTCAAGGGAACTAATGTCCTTTCTGAGATTCGAATCCATGTCACCCAGTGCTATAGTCTGCGACTTTACCGTTTATCTATTCAGTTCGCGATTTACCTCTAGTAGGATTACATTAAATACATTGATTAATTGCTGAAGAGTGACTAATAGCATGTTGTGTATTCCTGAGTGCTGACCAAATTCTATCGATTATTGCGAACATGGCTATCTAGCTAGGAGACTTATAATCGCGGTTCACTTTGATTTGATTTTCGTTGTTTGGAGGTTACAGCAAGATTTTTAAGCTTCTAAGATCACCTAGCATATCTACAATATCAATCATCTGTATGAGACAGGTTGCATACACGCTTTCCTGACGAACGCCATCAAGCAGGAAACGTAGGTTCTGGGTTTACTGTCGATTGTCTCCAACCGACTAAACTCAGTCTGAATATACTGCGTTGGTGAGCCCCATAGCTTGGTGAAGATGATCGATCGAATTTCGCCATCACTCTTAGAACTAGACAATATGAAGTTATTTACTCTCCAGGAATTAGTTAATGTACATTCTGGAATTTTTTTCTTATCATCTTGGACCATCGGTAACAAGATCTAGTTATTGTCATATTTTACTGTAACATCTCATTTTAATCTGGAGATTTTGTTCAGATTTATTGATTTCAACATGATATTCACTGCAGATTTATATTAGTTGGAGAACCATTAAAAACTTGGGAGCACTGGATAGCTGTTTCGTCCGTAGTATGGGGCTCAACAGTGCGCATACATAACCTCGCCAGTGACCGAACGCAGGATGTACAGCTTCCGCGGTGAACATGTTACCGTTGAGCCACTGGGTTGAAATCTGCGTCTTCCCTACTTCTCTCAGTTTGGGACATAGTACGACTTTCATCTCATATTTTGCCTATTCTGTGTTCGGAAAGTAAAATTCTGCCGTACAAACTAGTATACAAACTGTGTTATGGACTCTAGATCTTGCGGATCCATGCTATCCAATTAGCCATCCATCTTAGATTTTAAATAGTATCCTGATTTTCTAATACTCATGAAATCACTTTCTATTCAGCACATTAGTAGCCTTTACCAGAAATCATTTCTGTATTTGGTTACATGTGCTTGGTGATAAGTTTGATTTATGTGCATTGCTACTCTCCCTAAATATGATGATGAGGTGATAAATTGTTTACATTGTAAATTCACTTTCCATACCTTTCTTGATCTTCTGAAGATTAGGTGTCCACCTTAATTTTGGTGTTACATTCAGGATTAAAAGTAATTCTGAGAACAGGTGGTGGCTCCGGTAATATATTCACTACTTACTTATCTTAAATGCACCAAATCCTTTTCAACGAATTTACCGACGATTTACCATTTTCAACAATTTTTTCACCCCCTTCTGAGTTATACACTCTCTATGTACCATTCCATATATTACATAATCTATTTGTTATCATTCGCACTTCAGTTGTTATTATAATCATAAATGCCTATGTCATCATCCGCTCTATTATTATTGTCATCACCATATAGTGTTTAGTTTTCCTCACGGGATATAATTTTTTCCAAATCTCATATATATATACGATTGTACAGCTTGAAAATAAATTCGTTGAAAAGAGTCTCTTCGCTGAATATCTTGTTCTTGATGTTACAATGGGAATTATTAAATTACCAAATCCTTTGTCTATTTTCTCTTCCGTTACACTGTTCTTTTTTCTGCTGCAAAGTGTGATCATTTGCATGTTTTCTCACTTACCTTTTTCATATTCAAACAACTCAGCTGGCACAGTGAATGTGTCTTTCTGTAAATTCTTTGTTAAATGACCTAGTTTTATCTCTTACATTTTCACACGACGATATGCTACTTTAATACACTTTTCAGTGTACTTCCCCAATATTATTTAATCATGAAATCTTGCACAGCTTATTTTATTCAATATGAACTATTGCCAGGAAGATAAACTAGGGGTTTGAAATGTGTTTCATTGATGTATTATTCAAAAAAATTTGAACTGTTTACAGTTGGTGTCGATTAAAATGCATATTACAATGATAGTGATTCTTTAAAATCATCTACTTTCATTCCCTGTTTCGATTAATTTTTCTAGGTTCAGTAGCTCAGAAAACCTCTGTGCAGGTTAATATAATATACCGTCTAGGAAATATTGCAACAATCCCCTGTAATTTCAACAAACTCTATTCATTTGAACGCATTTTTTTCACTTTCAATAACACTGAAATTACTAATCTTTTTTCCGGTAAGTCTATAATACTAAACTGTAAGTTTTATCTGTGATAAACTATTACTATTTATTTTATTGACGAATTTCTTTCTTTTTCATAAGCTGGTTTATCTCCATACTTGATGATGATATCTTTGATGAAATTTCATTGATATTGAGTAGCTGTTTTTATGGGGTCTAATTTAAAGCGAAAAACGGTTGTAGAACAATATAACTCAGTACTATTTGTTCGCTAATTTCTATCATGTATTAGATGATGTACGTTGGATTTCTTAGTAAGAAAAAACTTTCAATCCTATTCATTTTTGTATTGAACAAGTACTCAAAATATGAGTAAGCTTGTCTTCATTTAACGGGGTTTTCTGAGATGGCATATTTTGACTTGAAGAATAGTAAATAACATAATCAAATCATCTGACTCAGCAAACTCACTGCCATCTGAAATAATCAATGCACAAGTAAATGTGTAAGGCTGTGACTTTAAGCGCTAAGTATCGACGAAGATTGAAATAGTTAGCACGTTGATTTCTGTTGATAAATATTAGCATCTACGTCCAAGTACTCGTGTATAAGCCACAGTTTTTGCCTGCAAGTTGAGTATACTGCTTGGTTTCCTGAGTCTCAGTAAATATAGTATGCTCTGAACCTGGTAATCACTGGTTGAAGATCGAGTATCTGAACTATTGAGTCCTAACTGTGCGTTTTAATTAATCATTGAATGTATAAGTCTTTATTGTTAATTTGTTTTGCATATTAATATTACTTTGTTCTTGCCAGCTTTCACTCTTCGTACAAGGTAATATTAAGCAACGCAACTCAGGGCAGTGCACCACACCTTCGTAATGCTACTTGACTGACTAAACTTTGACAGTTGAATAGGGTTTGAATTAATTAGTCACTTGTTGCAAGTTTAGGACTTAAGTCAGTTAGTTGCTGTTCCCTCGGTATATGAACTCATTTCTTTTCTGTCATTGTCAAAGGTATTGGTATTTAAGTAAAGTATTCTGAGATTAAACTTCTATGTGATTTATCCTCGCAATGTTTGAAGGTATATATGATATGGAATAGTATGCGTTAAATCTTATCTTCCATGTAATTAGGTGCACATAACAATTTGATAGGTCTTTGCTTGCTGAAAATGTGTAGTTCTAGTGTTTTCGAATAAATTATGTATTGTACTTAGGCTCTGTTGGCGTGAAATGTAAATCTAATAGGGTTCCCTGTTAACATTTTGACTGTGTTGAGCTGTCATCAGATAAATCATTAGGGAAATGCCAGTCTTTTCTTATGGTTATTTGTACTCATCCCAAAGAAACTAATCCTGAACCTTGATTGAAGTCACTTTCGGTACTATTCAGCTATTCAGCCTGCGATAGACTTGGTACTTAATAAATTATTAGTTTGACTCAGTTGCCTTCTGTAAGTTCGTACATTTTGCTTTGATATTCGCCTATTTTGTTCGAAGACTCAATCGCATAGACTGTTTTAGGTAGAACTATATCCAAGTTTGTGGGTCAATTAACTTAATCAACAGGTCATACGAATAATTTATCAAACATGATAGCGTTCCAGTAAAAATCTGTTTGTTGATGTAAGGAAACTTCAGTTAAAATTGAGAAATACTTCTTCATTGGGCACCCTATGAGGCTAATAGTTTAGGTGAAATTCCCGTTTCTTTAAGAATACACTGTGAGTAGACTAAACTTACTCTTGAAAATAGCCTACTTGTTGTTTCCGTTTATTCAAGTCATGTTTCCCTTTTGTAATTTTCTATTTTCAAAAAAAAGATAAGCGCAGATTAGTGCGAACTCCGCAAAATGGTTATCAACTATTATTGATACGAGGTTTTCAACCTCAAGATCAAGGACTCTATAAATGTGGTTTCTTCAATCCGAGATTTCATACAAAACGATATAGTACTATAATATATCATCTTCTAGTTGAAGGTAAGTTCAGTTTATTGTAATACATATTGACTTTTCGTGTCCACTTGCAATTTGTGCGCATAGTTTATCGCATTGATTTGTATATGTAACCTACACGAAGGTTTTCATCTAGTCGTTCCTGACAGTCATCATCCCGTAGACTTTTTGTGTTACTGTTTTTATTCTCTTGCCTATGTGTTATCCAACCTTTGGATTAATTCTGAGCTCAATCGGGTAAAGTTTCTGATGTTTGAGGTGACTAGGACAAAAATAACAAACAGAAAGTTTATCTATCTAAATTGAAGACTTTCTTTATGATTCTAGTATTCTATGGGCCAAAAACGGGTAAGACAATCTTTGGGTATTGACTAGACATTAAAATTAGTTCATGGTGACAATAGAAGGTGAAATGAAAATTTTGATCGCGGCGGAATTCGAACCAGTGACCAGACAGTCAAAATGATAATGAAAATTAGTGCAATCCTGTTATTTAACTTAGTTTTCTTCTTCGGTGTTGAATTCTTATCCAGTATTATCTACATATAATTAAAAAGCCTAGGCGAACTACGAATTCGGTAAATGCTGCTGACTGTACATTTGTATAGATTTCGTTCTTAGAGATGACTATCCTCTGATCTCTCAATAAATCCACGGTGTCAGCATCACCACATGCTAAGCTGTTACCAAAATTAGTCATTGATGTGCCAGTCAGTTCTAATCACATTAGCGAAATATGTATATCAATCAGCCTATTTAGTTGTTTTTCTCCTGAAGATCAATTCCCCACTTTCCATTTATTAAAGGTCAATGATTAAATAAATATATCAAGTTATACTTTTTTAAAAACAGATTTAGTTGACTATTTCCCCCCATAACTATTATCTGTTATATGCTTTTTTGCATAGGTATGCTCCGATTTTTTAGGTATTCGTCTTTCAAGCGTAATTCGGTTATAAGTTTGAATAACACACTATCTACCAAGGTGAGTAGGTAACCCACGTGTATCACTGTGATCGTCGTGACGGGTGTACCTCATGAAGCGAAATTGACAGTCTTCTATGTTCATGAGCTGAACTCTATAAGTGAGACTCAATTACATTTTGAACTTATTTGTTTGACACAGCACACATAGCACTCATAGCATAAACTATCGCTCATAATCATTTCAATCTAATCACATAGTTCTGTCACCTTATATTCCTTGTTTTTTGTACTGGTAAAATTTACTAGATCTCTGGCATAGGTGGTTGCGTCATTCCCATTACTTGTGTTGGATGCTAATTCGTTGAAGAAAGATTCGGTAAACAATATCTCTCTCTGTGTCTATCTAACTATACTGGACTTGAGTGCAGTGGTTTTATCTCACTGTATTGTGTGGTTGTGTGTTAATACATGTATTACAGCAGCCAGTATTTTCTTTAGATTAATGATCATTTTGAGGTCTCTCATGCTATACTTGGCTAAATTCCTGTTCCGATAGTCTAACTGGCCCTGATTGGCTAGTTTGACCTATGTACTTGACCTCACAATCATACCATGGAATTTAGTTAGATCCTTTGGTTATATTACTTTGCCTAATTGGATCTATTGCATCCTTAAGCCGACTAAGCTAATCTCTGGATGAGTTTATAGATTTGAATGCTACCCTAATTCCAGTCTTGTTGAGAATCCTATGTAAAGTTTTCTTATGTTCCTTCCTTATATGGTAGCACAATAGATAGACAGAGAATACTGAATCTTTGTTCATCGAATCAACATCCAACATATGTAATAGGAGTGATACAACACCTATACCAGAGATATGGAAAGTTTTACTAACGCTAAAAACAAGCAGTATTGGGGTGGTAGAACCATAAAAATCAGATGTCAAAAGGTATGTGATCACACTGATATGCTTTTGAGCAAAAATTCATGCTGTAAATATCATCAAATAAATAATACTGTATCACTGTGTGCTATGTCAAATAAACAAATGTAATATGGAATTACGTTCTATCACAGTCCCTCAAGTTTTACACTTATATTTGCGAGATTCATTGAGTTCACGGTTATGCATGAATCTTCAAATCTTTGTTGATGTAGTATGCTATGAATTTATGACTCATTTTTCGAAAGTCGACTAACTAATACAATAAGCCACATCCACATGAAGCGTAGCTATATGGTGAAATGAAACACTAACCGTTTACTAAAGGTTTTATTTTTATATTTGTCTTCGTTACTAGCAAACTATTCATAACAGTTACGTCCCTTTTTTAGCACTTATTGCGTGTGAATAGCTCATAACCAAGCACATGTTTTGCTCATAAATGTTCTTTTGCATATTTTTCTTATGTTTGTGTGTATGGTTCAGTATTTAACCACCCTCCGTTACTTATCAAGTTAAAGTTCTCTTATCTTTGTCTTCCCGCATTTCGTTCAGACCGCCGATTTTTTATACATGCTTTTAGGAATTAACAGCTGTGTTTAGGGTTGTAATGCTAGAATTAAGTACAGTGTCAATATGATCGCTGGTCGAAAATATTGTTAGAGTAATTTAAAACCGAACTTCTCATTTATTCAGTTGATTTATATGGAATCTAATGATTTGAACAGTTTATCTCTGTGAATGGCTTTATTTTGAGTGTATTGTTTGAATTAATAAAAGAATAAAACTTCGGAACTGTGGTAAATTGTAATTTCGTTTTAGTCTGTTTGTTAGAAATGTCACATAATGAAACAGTATCACTAACTTATCAAGGTTTCGGACATAATTGTCTGTCGATATTCATGCCATTGTTTGTTTCAGGTCAAAGCAACATGATAAGCTAGTGATTTCCTAATATGCATGAGGAGTACTCAGTCTGTAGTCATCTTTCATACTGAATGAATTTTGACAGATGCACTCAGGCATTATTTTCTTTGTAACCAGCGCTTTGATTAGTTTATGTTTTTATGATGATTGAACGCTTATTTATGTGTAGACCGGACAAACAACTCGAAACCTAGAACAGTTGCTACTCTGATGTATGATTGAGCTAGCTTTTTATCATCTTGTAGGTTGGTTTGGTTTCGAATTTAGAAACCTTTAAGTCCTGTACGATAGGCGCGTTTTTTCGAAAGTCAAACGATGAAAATAAGCTTCCACAGTAATGGTATTTAAACTAGCTTACCAGACTGTGCATATGATATTACAAATGAATTTGTTGTATTATGCTTTTGGTGATGCAGATGTTTCTGTCCAACGAATAGCATTCCCATAGATACTTCCTTCTCATTCTAAATTGGTGGTGCTAGGAAACAGTGCCGGTAACTGTGCTTCCTGTTTTGCTTAAATGCTACCTATCTTGACTGGTGATACTGGATAGAATAGGACTGGAAAAACCTTCGAAATATTGTGCAAAACTAAATGGAAATGTACACGTAGTCCTTAGGTTTTTAATGATCTCATTGTCAAAGGTTAGTACATCTGCATCATTAGGATGGATTCTGGAGTCTTTGCTCGTTGGCTTGATAATTCTATTTCCAATCAGTGCATCAAACGATCGAACTCCGTTTTACCTGTTGAAGTTGTATTGATTATACTGTATTACTATCTAACACAATAGGTGTTTCTAGTATCTAAAACTGTACACGATCGCTGAATTAAATAATACACCACTGATCTCTCAAAGCTTCGATATCTAATACAATGTGGCTGAAGGTTGTTCATGATAGTTTAAATTTATTCTATTTTTTTAGCTTTCAATCTGTATTGAGAACATCATTATACAAGTAGTTTATTCCAATCTTCTCATACCTTTTCCATTGTTTGTGTTATGATTTTGTTACTCTAGTTGAATTTCCGCCTGTTTCCTACACATTGACTTTTACCGTTGGCTTTTCTCTATTTCTAGTTTATTTGGAGTGATTAATATAACTTTGTTCAAGTACTTAAAAAAAAGATACAATTGTTGGCTGATACTCTGCTGGAGATCTGTATGTGATTATATGAATGGATACTCTTCCTGTTCTGGTTGTGTTAGCATTTGTTTGAGATTGTTTCTGTATACTGCTGGTCGCTATCACGGACAATTATTTTTCTTTTACTTATCAAACAGGTTAGAATAATACGCAATCGTCCCTCCATCATTTAGTTGTGATCTCTTGACCAACATGTCTGATGGTATGTAGACAATCAAGCAGATAGTGGCGAGAATTTGTAGCTCAGGATGATGATGATAAGTTTTGGTGTTCTCCAAGCTTTTGGGTTTGTTTTTGGATGTTTCATCAGTAGGCTAGGTGAATTCATCAGCGTTTATTTGATAAAGAAGTTGTGTAGCTTGGTGATGAACACGTCCAAGAACAAACTTGGAAACTCAGAGAACACTAAAGGATTATCACAATCGAGTAATGTTTTCGTCTGTACAAATTTAAAAAAATGACAGACTAGTTTTTTGATCATGTTTAATCTACTTAGTCTCTATGTTGAAGGCGATTTTCTCATATGTAGCATCTGATAACAACTGAAATGTTTAACTTTTAGTCATTCAGTACCAATGTGGGGTCTTGACATTACCGGACAAGAATCCATGCTGCTACATCTCAGCACATGTCAGCACATCAAGACAGTTGGCACCCATGTGGGGAAAGCGACATAACAAAGAAAGTAATTAAAAACCACAGAAAGTTAGAGGACGAGAGGAAAAAAAGATAAAACAATCTCAGAATTCGGTATGCCGATTAAGATAAAACGTGTGGAGTTATCTGAAATCGATCTCGAGCCAAATCGTTCAGGGTCCACAATCACTGACTTTGGTTGTAATGCAAACCTCATCCTGGAAGTCTACTTCTCTCAACACAGCTCAGACTAACACTTAAAGACTCCTTGGAGTTATGCTATTTTTATTTGACCTCCTGTAACTTATATTTAGTCTGAACCTACTTCATTTAAAATTTCATGACACGGCAAGTGGTGACTGGCCATCCATAGCACATGTCTCATTCATTTGAGTCGATGTTGGTTCGTTATATGATCAAGTAACTTACTGCTCTCACTTAAG